CCCAAGGCTTCTGCTTCCTCTCCTCGGCAAGGAAGAGCCTCTTGGATTGCCAGGGCCCACAGTTCAGTAGAGACAAGACATGGAACAGTGGAGGAGGTTGGTATTTCCCAGGAAGGGGCAAAGCCACGGAGAAGAAGTTAGATCCCCCCTGTGGAAGGAGGTAGGGATTAAACCAGCGGTGCCTGTGCTCTGTGCTCCTGTGGCCTGATGGCTCTGAGCAGTTCATGTCCTGTGCAAGCAGTGCTGTGTTTGGAGAACAGGAAGATCCTCTTCCCAGGCAACATCAGCCCATGGATGTTTAAATGCAGGCTGGATCTGCAGAGGGAGGTGCAGCTGACCCCTGGAAGGCCACACTGAGCACTAAACCTGCATTGTTTGATGCAGAAGGGTGGTGGCATCAGGCTGGGGACCGAGCTCAGAGCCACCAGGAGAGGTGGGAGGTGACTCTGGCAGGTTCCCTTGGCTCCTGTGCGCTGCTGTCTCCACCAAGTGGAGGCTCTGACCATCACTCGTTCACTTGTCCCAGTGTGTCCCCAGCAGTGCCCCAGCAGTGCCTGCAGCCATCTGGAAGCTGGGGCAGGTGTCTGTGTCCACCAGGGATGGGCCTGGGTCACACTGGGGAGTCCTTCTGCTCCTTGTCCCCAGGACTGATACTGAACTTACCTGACATCCCAAAAGCTTGGCGTCCTTTTCTCTCTGTGCCCTCATCCAAACCCTTGAGACCTGCTTGGAGCCTTGGGAAGTGCAGAACTGAAAATTCACTCCTGTTCTTGCTCATCCTCTTTCTGAGCCTTTCCAGCAGTTGTGTCTCAGCTTCAGACGAGCTGTCATGGGACAGGAGTGGCAGAACCAGGCCTGGCCATGGCAGTGCTGAGGCCTGATGTCCTCCCTCCCCCAGGCAGGATGTTCCCTGTCCCTCCCTGTGTCTCTCAGGGAATTTCTGGAGAACAAGCATGTTCCAGATCTTCTGCTGCTTTTTCCTCATCTCCAAGTGGAGGTTCTTGGTGCTGCTCAGTAGCAGGGGAGGCAAAATTCATCACAAAACTGAGCAAGTGCAGCATCATGGGCTTGCAAGGGCTGATCCAAGCACCAAAGGACTGGGGATGAAATGAAGCTTTCCCGGGTCAGTGCCTGTGTGAGTTGATGCTCTGCATGGTTCACTCCTATCTTCCAAGGAAAACTCGTTCTGCTGGGGCTGTGCACATACCCCTTTCCATCCTGCCTGAAACTCTCCAGTGTCAGTAGCTTCCTTTTCCTTCCTCGTTTGCTCTGGAATGTTGGTACTCTTTCCCCAGCCAAACCAGGAGGCTTCAAACTCTGCTCTCATATGAGGATCATTCCCTGAGCCCAGCTCTCCCCTGTCCCCTTGGGAACATTGATATCCCATTCAGCAACTGAGCCTCAGAAAAGCCTGGACTGGTCCTGGCTCTGCTCTGGCCACAGGAGCACGACGTGGATTTCACAGGGGACCACAAGAAAGTGATGGGAGAGCTGGATTCCACCACTGCTGCCTCCTCCTCCTCCTCCTCTCCAAAGTTGTGCAGCCCCAGCTAAGGCATCAAGTGGCTTTTGGAGAGCTCATCTCTGCTCCCAGGAGTGTCAGTGCTGCTGTTTTTATGGTTCCACTGGTTTTTGAGGGGAACACAGCTCCTTTCAGGGCTTGTGAGCCATGAAATCATGTGAAAGAAAGTTGCTGAAGTATTTGGGGCTGTGTCCTTCTGCACAGGTATCTGCTCAGAGTTAGAACATATGGGGCAATGAATTGCTTTCAGGGTTAGGTCCCACCCAGGAGCAGACATTCCAGCTGGGTAGTTCCTTTCTTGGCAGAGCTGGATCCACAAAGTCAGCATGCATGAAGGGCAAAGGTTCTGAGGGTCCATTGGTCGGGTCTAATAATTTATATATTCCTCAGCTCCAGGCCACCAAGTGTGGCCAGTGCACGTCTGTACTGAGCCCAGGCCCTGGGGCCAGCCAGACCCACAAATCTGGGTTTGAAAACTCGGGGGGATCTCTTTTCCCTGGGCAGATCCTTTGGAAAATGGCTGTTCCACTGGACCACCATCTGTGCTAGTGTTTTATGCCTCATTTCAGCTGGTTCCAGCTTCCAGCAATGAGCTTGCACTCAACTCTTCCCTGCCAAGTTAAGGCAAGGCAGTATTTTCTCCCCATGAAGATGATGATATGCTGCAATCAAATCATCTTCCAGTCTTCCGTTTGGCATGAGAAACAGACTGGAGCAGTTTGGTCTCACAGAGTCATAAAGTGCCTTTTCCCAGGCTTGAACCATTTTAGTGCTGCGTTTTGGAAACGTCTTTGGCTTTTCTGATCAGCTCTGACACCTGAAGCTGCTCACTGTGTCTGCAGCATGTGAGGAGTGGCTTCACCACAGCTTCAAAGGGAGAAAATGACCTCCTTGTTCCATCTCAGGCACCTGAACTGAAAACTGGTCAGTCCTTCTGCTCAGGGATGGCTCTGTGTGGTTTCAGCACCATGTGGCTGAATCCACAGTCCTGGGCTCGTCTGACTGTGCTGCAGCCACTGCTCTGGCCAGAGCCAGCTACAGAGAGAGGGATCCACTGCTGGAGCGTCCTGTTCTCAGTCTTTGCTCTCCACCCCTCCATAGCTCCACCCATAACTTTTAGCAACAGCGGTGTTAAATTTAATTCCAGAGCACAAATAAATCTGTCCCACATCAGCCATTCCAGGAGTCCTGTGGAAATGCCTCTCTCTATTCAGGAGCAATGCACATGGAGAGCAGCTTTGCCTCACAACACAGGGCCTGTTGCTGATTTGGTTTGTGTTTGAATGTGATGCAAAGCTGGGTATCATCAGAAAGTCATTGTATTCTTGGCCCTTTTATAATCTCCTCAGATGGCTCTAGCCTCAGTCTCACTGCCACTGGCATCAGCTTCTGATCCCAAATCACTTGGCTCATGCCTGGATTTTCCTATTGCTTTGCCCAGAACTGGCAGGTCCAGGTTGCTGTGCCATCGAGCCGAGCTCTCACTGCTTGTTCCCACCTCCCAGCCTCCCACTGGGAATTGCCCTGGCTGCCTTTGATCTTCCTCTACAGTCCTGTGCAGGCTCTGAGGAAGGGAAGATTCTCCTGTCTGCCCTACTGTTGCCTTTATCAGGGCAACCTTCTGGGTTTGATTGATCTTCAATTAATCCCACTCTTTTCTGATCCCTGAGTACCCTGCAGTCACTGCCTTCCCCTTGGAAGGGTGCTGAGCCACACGTGGTGGCTGAGATGGATGGGTCTGTGGCACACCCAATAATATTATCACAAAGACTGTCCAGCTCTCAACCACATCTTCTCTGTCTCAATCCATCTTTCTCACTTGTAAGAGCTCTGTATGATTTTGGGAGCACGGCAAGGGGGAGTATGTGTGAGAAGGCAGGAAATGAGTGGGAAGGCAGGTCAAGGCTAATTCTCTCTGTTTAGGGACTATTAATTGTACATTTCATTCCATAATGAGAATGAAGGGATGAATAATAAAATCTCTGGCAATAGGTTGTGCCTGACCCAGTTTGAAATAGTGACTCCATGTCCATGTGGGAAGTTGGGCAGTAATTACTGGAGGACTGTTCTCTCTGTTCCTCTGCACCCCTCATCCCTGTCCTCCCAGGAGCTCCACACTTTCACCTCCAGCTGCACCATCCTGGTTCCTTTGCAAGCTCCATAACCTGTGTCAGAACCCACTGCAGGTGTTGTTTCTCTAACACTGTAATTCATACTTTGTCCTGATGAACTTTATGATGTTCCAAGTAATGGGATTTTTTTTCTCTGCTGCTATTGCACAATCTAATGATCATCCATAAGTTCAGCCTATTCTTCATTTTATTTTGTTACTTCTGCCTAAAACATTTTCAAACACCTTTGGCTGTTCCCAATGTTTACATGACTCTAAATATGTCACAGTGGTTTCTGTTTCTGGGTAGTCTGAGCAGCCATTATATATTTAGTTCTGATTTCTGCACAAACTGAACTAGCAATTATTTTATCTTTGTATTGCACATTAGAGTGTATTAATAACCAGTAATGAAAAATTGGGGACCCATAAAGAGTGGTGCCAAAGGAGCTCCATGGCTTATTCCCACATCCTTGTCTGGTGGGCTCACAGCCCCTTTGCCTTTTATCACCACAGCACCTGTTGATGTTTCGCAGCCTTGAGGTGTCCAGTTCACTTTTCTTAAAGGGTTTTGAATATTTCTTTGGATTGTTTTTTTCCCCACAGATTCCCAGCTTTTCTTTCCCAGATGAAAACACATGCTATTTCCTAACCTGTTTCTGAGCACAGTGGACTCCCTCTGCCTTTCCCCCTCCATCAGGCTTTCCCTGTCATCCCCAATAGTTATATCTGTCCATAACGTGGTAGTCTCCCTAAATATCCTCATCCTCCAGATCCCCTTTGATCAGCACTGTGTATGTTCAATAAAGGCTCTGAATACCAGGGGATGTCAGGTTGTGTGAAGGGATAAAAGAGAAGATGCATTGGAGGGTGGAGATAGCCCCAAATTAAAAATGTCAGGGAATCATAGAATCGTTTAGGTTGGAAAAGATCTTGAAGATCATCAAGTGAAAGTTAATTCAGCAATGCCAGGTCCACCAGTGACCCATGTCCCCAGGTGCCACAGGAGAATATGGCTTTGTGTGTGTGGACTAGTGTTGGCAAAACACCTGCAGTCAGGACTGCTGGAGCTGTGCCCGTGGCCTGCTGGCAAGCAGAGCAAGTTCTGTGCTCTTCTTTAGGGATACAGTGTGTTTATGAGCACTACTCTTGTTTGTGATGATTAAGGTTATTTTCACTACTAGCAAATCATTTTATTACTTTTGTCCAGTTAAATTTTAATTACTTATCATGCACGGCAGACACACATTAATGTGCTTCTTTTAAAAAACCTGCATAAACCAGAGTACCTTGAATTAGGTCCTGGTGATGACAAAACGAGCACTTGGCATTGAGAATTCACGTTCTCTCCTCTCTTTACCCCTTCAGGGAGTGTCTGAAGAGGAGCCCACGGAGCCCAAAAGCCGAGGGCTCCGACTCGGTGACATCTCAGTCCTCCCCCAGTGAAGAGGCTGGAATGATGACTGAGGTGAAAGTGAAGACAGAGGTACCAGATGACTACATCGAGGAGGTGATCTGGCAGGATGACACCAAAGATTCCAAGAAGAACATCAAGGATGGGCCGGGGGATGTGCCTGCAGAGATCTGCGTGGTCATCGGCGGCGTGCGCAACCAGCAGACGCTCGGTGAGGCACGAGGCACCGTTCATTCCCTCAGGGGCTGTGGGGACAGGAGGAGGCTCTGCAGAGCTGTGCCTGGACACTCAGCCCTGCTGGAGGGCCCAGAGACAGGGTGAACACCAGTCTTGGGGTCCTGGCTCAGGATTATTGACCTTCTGTGTCTGTTTGCATCTGGTTGCCCCTAAAGGCTCAGCCAAGATGGGAAAGAAAAAGCTCCTTATCTTCTTTTGGCATGTTCAGGGACTTGCCCTTCAGTCACATGCAGCACCTGGTGAGCTCAGGGCTGGGGGTGTATTTGACACAGGTGAGGAATTAGGAAGGAAAGCCTGAGAAACAGCTGAGATATTTTGAGGAAAGTTGCTCTGAGGAATGTGGATGCTTTCTGTAAATGAGTCTGAGCCCAAGAGCAGGTTTTACAGGTTGCTGTTTGTTTGTTTTCCTGATCGCTCCTCAGTTGTGGGAATACTTTTGACTCTGGGCTGGCTGTGGTGTGTCCTGTTCAAAACAGTGCTTCCTGTCCCCACCCCACCTCCCTCTGTGATGAGAAGAAGCTTTTTCTTTTTTCTGTGAACATCAAACTGTCTTCTCGTGCTCCAGGGAAAGGGGCTTCCTGTGGGAACCTGGCAAGGCACCACTCCTGCACTGCCTCTGTTGTCCCTGGCCTGGAGCAGGTCCCTGCAGTGTCTCTGAGATCCAAAGGCACTTGGTAATAAAAAGAAGGAAGAGCAGTTGGACCAGGTTTCCTTTAAGGGACTCAGGAGGAAGCTGATATGAGCTGCCCAGCATTGCAGTTGGGGTTGGTTTGTCCTGCAGGGGGAGAGAAAAGATGAATTGATGTTGGATTTTCTCCTGGGTTTTGTTGACCATTGTCCACACTGGACAATGCTGCTGGAAAGAAACCTGAGAGATGTCCTTAACTGGTGATTGTCTCAGAAGCATCATTGCTCTTCCTGTCCTCCTTTCCACCACAGGACAGCCACTAAGAACAGCAGGGTGGGAGGTCAGTGCTGTCTGTGCAGGTCTAGGGAAAGCCTAAGAAGTCCAAAACTACTTCTGACATAAAGATTTTACAATTTGGAAGAAATACTCTGTGTATTTTCAGAATTTTTGTGCTTCTGCAGCTCTTGATCATTATATGGGCAAAGCTGAAAAGCATCCCTGGTGCCCTGGAAAGGAGAGGTGGAGCTGTGACTGATGGGCAGCAGTGGGAGCTTCTCCTCCTGCCACAGCCACCAGCCCTTGGTGAAAGCATCTGCAGGTTGGGTGTTTGCCCTGCAGGACCCTCTTCTCCCCACAGCTCCTGGCTGGGCAGCAGCAGCTGCTCTGCAGTCACTGTCCTCTGGCAGTGGTGCTTCCCAGCTGAGCTTGGCTGTGCAGTGGGGAGGGAGCTTTGCTTTAGCTCTTGGCTGGCTTGGCTGGACTGGAGGGGAAGCCAGTGAGGAGCAGCTGGGGACACTGGGATGGTTCAGCTGGAGCAGGCTGGGGTCACTGGGATGGATCAGCTGGAGCAGACTGGGGGCACTGGGATGGTTCAGCTGGAGCAGACTGGGGGCACTGGGATGGCTCAGATGGAGCAGACTGGGGGCACTGGGATGGTTCAGATGGAGCAGACTGGGGGCACTGGGATGGATCAGATGGAGCAGACTGGGGGCACTGGGATGGATCAGATGGAGCAGACTGGGGGCACTGGGATCGTTCAGACTGAGGGCAGAGCTCCCCGGAGCTGCAGCTTCTCCCAAGGGGCAGCTCCAGGCTCTGCTCTGGGACAGGGACAGGAGCCAGGGAACGGCTGGAGCTGGGCCAGGGCAGGCTCAGGCTGGAGATCAGGGCAAGGTTCTTCCCCCAGAGGGTGCTGGGCACTGCCCAGGCTCCCCAGGGAATGGGCACGGCCCCGAGGCTGCCAGAGCTCCAGGAGCGTTTGGACAGCGCTGCCAGGGATGGACAGGCTGGGATTGTTGGGGGGTCTGGGCAGGGACAGGACTCGATGATCCCTGTGGGTCCCTTCAGTTCAGGCTGTTCCATGGGTCTGTGATTCTGTGTTGTCCCTATGGAGAGTGTTGGGGACAGACTGGTGGGAGGGGGACGCTCATAATGTATGGACACTGTGGGCAGAGGGGCAGATTCATTGACCACTTACAAGGTTGAAAGCCTTATAAACTGGAGAGCTTCTGTCTGGAAGGGCCTTTTCCAGTCAAACACACACTGTAAAGCCTGGGGTTCTTTAAAGGCAGTTTGGTCTGGAGGTGATGAAGGTTGGTGCCAATTCCTTTGTGAACAGAGCTCTGGAAGTGCCCCTGTCTGCCATTCTCATGACCCTCGTTTTTGGGGAGGTGGCTCTGAGTAACTCCTGTTTGCCCATCAGGTCCTGTGCCCTGTGTGCACACCCTGTGGTGCCCCAGAGAGCAGGTCCTTGTGTTTGCTGAGCTCTGTCCCCCCATGAAAATCACACCTGGGCACTGTGCTCATCTCTGCACACACCAGGGTACCTCACACCAGGAATGTGCCCCATGTGTCACTACTCTACTGGACATTCCAGCTCCTCACTGGCCATTCCAGCTGCTGCACTGGAGCAGCCTGAAAGTATGACCTGCTGATGATGCTGGTGCCTTCTGCCTCTGGAACAAAGGCTTTAATACTCTTGCTGCTGCTCCCCAGAACTTCCAGGAGCTTTCTTGCCCTGGGATCTGGGAGCCCTGTAGCTGAATAACTTCCTGTGTGCAGACAGGAAAGGCTTTGGTAGGATTTTATTCACCTTCATCAGGGAAGCTGAGACTTGAGGTGTTGAGAATGGTTATTTTTATAGCATTTCCTGATGAAGTGGTGAATCAGGAATGAATGAGCCCCTCTCCTCTGTGTGGAATTGCTGACCCCAGCCTGTCTCTTTTCAGGGAGTGCTTTGGACAGTTGGTTAAATGGGGGATGTGTCTGAGACAGGACCATGGTGCTGAAGGCTCAAGGCACACATGGCTCCAAGTGACAGCTTTTCCTGCAGGGCTCAACCTTGGGACTCAGCTGAAATGCACATTACAAGATTTACATCTCTTTTCTGAGTCACACATCTACTCTATTTGTATTTTTAGTTGTTACTTGGAGCAATTTATAACAGGGATTCCCAGCTCAGTTGCTGCTATTCCCTTGCAGTGTTTACATCAAACCAGGCCTTGTGTTTTTTGTCTCCCATTTGCTTGCACCAGCTCCTGTCTCTCTCAGCACTCTGGACTACTCCAGACTCTGCCTCCATCCATGTGGAGCATCCCAAACCCTGTGGGGGCTGGAAGGGGCTGTACTGGGTGGGATGGTTGGGGACAGTGGCCACAGTCCCCCAGCCGAAGAGCTGTTTGTGGGTTTGAACCATTTTCCTCTCAGCTGCTTTTCCACAAGTCTTTCAATCCTGTGGGATCCCCCTTTGGCACCCCAAGCAGAGGAAGCCAATGGAGAGGTTGGTTCTCACCTGGTTCCTGTCAGCTGCTGCAGATCCCCCACTCCCCCCCTGCACCCACCTGGACCCCCACAGTACCCCAGGTGCCCAGCCCTGGGATGGAGGTTCCTGCCCTGCACAGCTCAGAGGTGCCACATTTCCCCTTCTTCTCTTTCTTCTGGCAAGATTCACGTGCTGACCTCAGGCCAGGGGCACTTGAAGAGCCACGGCACACGGACACTTCTCAGGGAAGTCCCACCATGGATCTGGCAGGAGAGGAGAGGAAAAGCAAAGGGCACTTGTGTTGTAATTTGGGAGAAAGAGGGGGAGACTGTCAGATGTGGATCATTTCCTCCTGTTGGGAATAGCATCAGGTCAGTATTTGTGTCCTGGGGGACTGAGTTACCTGCGAGCTGATGAGGAGAAGTTTGATACAAGACTCCTTAAGCTCTCAATCTGTTCTCCCAATCTGCTGCTTTAGAAGGAATATTTTGGAGAGGACTTTTCAAGTAATGCATTAAATCAGAGTTGTTTCTGAGATAGAGAGAAGAGAGAATCCTTCTGCTCTGAGCCTCTCTGTCCATCTCCCATGCACACATTGGGTTCATGCCATGGTGCTGATATTTCAGTTGCTGAGCTGCTCAGCATATGTATGAAATTCAGGAGTACTTTGGATTCTCCCTGGTGAGGTAAAATAGCACTGCAGAAGCCTTAAGAAATTCTGTGAGACCTCTGACATCTTGTCAGGAAGCCACAGAGACAGATGGGTTTTGGAAATTTTTCATAGGCTTCAGCCATCATTATTCCTTGGAAATGCATCCACTTTAAGGGCTTTTTTCTGATTTCTTTTTGCACAATTTAGATGGAAAAGCAGTGGAACGTGGCTCTCCCGTTGGATATACACGAAATCGATATTCAGGGACCTGGATTTTTGACCATGCATTGAGATACACGTCCGGTATGTGATGGAAGGGTGTGAAAGTCTAACCAGGGCTCAGGGAGCAAAGGAAGCTCTGGAAGCAATGGGTGCATTGCCCAGATTCCAGCTGCCAGGCTCAGGAAAGCCCAGCCCAATTGAGTGCACCAACTAACCCCAAACCTTCCCCATCTCCCCTCCTGCTACCACCAGCTGTGACCTGCATGACACACCCTGAGAGGACAATGACCTCGCTGCTGCTGTCCAAGGCCACGTGGGCACGTTCTCTGCAAGGCCTTAACACACAGTGATGTCCTTCTTCCTCCACTTCACCTTTCCTCCACTCTAACAGCACATTTTTTGTGGCAAGTCATCCCTCCTTTCTCTAACATGAGGGCCTGTGATGAGCTGAGCACACAGCTGTGGCTGCTGAGTTGTGTCTCTGCCTCAGGTCTACAACACATCTCCCTCACCCTTCCCAGATCCCTGTGTTCCTGAGGCACTGCTCTATCACCTGTGGGCAGGGGGTGAGTGCAGGTGTCCCCCTCAAGGTTGACTCCAGCCTTCCCTGGGTTCCACTTGAGACCTGGCAGCTTCAGGACACCTGCACAGAGCCCTGGCCTGGGGTACATGGTCCCTGTCCTGCCTCAGCTCCTGCCCCTGGTGTCCAGCACACCCCTGCACCAGGTCTGCAGCCCCTGCTCAGGTTTACAGTGCAGAAGGAAGGCACTGCACAGTTACCTGGACAGCTGACCTTCTTAGAGAACTTCTGCACAGCCAGTGCATTTATGTGCCACAGACTGTCTCCAGAGGAAGTAGGAAATACAATACAAATGGGGAAAAAATTCAGCCTAGAGCCCCTCACTGTGTTTGACCTGTTTGCACCAGCTCATAGAATCACAGAATGCTTTGGGCTGGAAGGGACCTGCCATGGGCAGGGACCCCTCCCACTGTCCCAGGCTGCTCCAAGCCCCAGTGTCCAACCTGGCCTTGGGCACTGCCAGGGATCCAGGGACAGCCACAGCTGCTCTGGGCACCCTGTGCCAGGGCCTGCCCACCCTGCCAGGGAACAATTCCTGCCCAATATCCCATCCAGCCCTGCCCTCTGGCAGTGGGAGCCATTCCCTGTGTCCTGTCCCTCCATCCCTTGTCCCCAGTCCCTCTCCAGCTCTCCTGGAGCCCCTTTAGACCCTGGCAGGGGCTCTGAGCTCTCCCTGGAGCTACTCTTCTCCGGGTGAACTCTCCCAGCCTGGCTCCAGGGCAGAGGGGCTCCAGCCCTGTAATTAACTCAGTGGCCTCCTCTGGACTCATTCCAACTCTTCCCAGTGCTCCATGTGCAGCCAGCACTGGTGGGGTGTGGGTGGGCATCAGTCACATCATTCTGTTGGTTCAGCTGAACCTCAGCTGTGCTCAGGGCTCCTGTTTGCAGGGCCCAGGGGATGGTGAGTGCTCTTGTCTACTGCTTTGGGGCTCCAGCTCCGAGAGTTTTCAGAAAATAATTCTGGAGGTTGGTGGTGAAAATAATTAGTCCTTGAGCATGGGAATGAGGACTGGCAAATGCTGCTGACCTGCTGATATCCCGGGTTTCACTCAGGCAGCCTGTGTGGAGTGACTGTCCCACAGATGTGTATCTACATAAAATAAGTGAGCTATGATAATAAAAATGCTCAGATCAGACACAGCTAAGTGCATGTGCTATCAGAATATGTGAGTATTTTTTCAGCTGGATACTCTGGTGTATCAGAGTGTGGCAAATGACCTCTCTCAGCATCAGTGACCAAGGAGCCTCCCCAGCTCAGGAGACAGCCCCAAGTGGTGCCATCAGTGATGGGCAGAGAATTCAGGGCTCTCACACTCTGAAGGGGGGGGATTTTCTTCCCAAGCTGTAAGAATGGGACATGAGAAGGGGAAAAAGGACCGTGGGCATAGTGTGTTCAGAGAGCTCCCCGGGTTTGTTTCTGGCAAGAGCTCACTTTGACTAGCTCCAGGTGAGTATTGCTGTGAAATGTTGTTTGGGAAGGTTTATCTGGAAGTGTGTCGATATTTTTGTTCTCACTTGTGGCTCCTCACTGAGTTTTGCTGTTTTGCATGGTCAGGAAAAGATTGTTTCAAGGTTGTGTGAGGAAAGGCACATGGAAATGAAATTCTGCATTCATACCAAATTAATTCAGCCCTTCTTTCTCCCACCTCCTCTTCATTCAAGTCATGCTCTCACCCTCTGAAAGAGCACCAAGGGGATCCCAGTTCCACAGCTCTGGTGGACAGTTACGAAATGCAGTGCAAATAAGAGCCTGGAAAGTGAATTTATAGCCTGTGCAACAAAGTGAAGTAGGAAAAAAAGAGATTGAATCAACTTAAGTAACAAATATAAGGAAATTTCTGTCTGCCTGTTCAATAACAGAAGAGTCTAAATTCATGGCATAACTTCATCATTATAAATGGTTCTCCCAGCTCTGTTCCTCTGGTTTCATTTCAAATGACTCTTTGCAGATGTGTATTTTCTGGAATTAGAGACACAGATTGAGAAGAGGGACTACTGTGGTCATGTGCTTTTCCTTAAAAAGGGAAAAAGTTCTATTTGTATCTATTTGGTTTCCACTGGGTGGATATTTACCAAATCTCTGTGGGTTTCTTGGGAAATTTGTACATTGTGCATTTCTTGAGAAATTTTGAAAACTCCTGGCCTCCGCATAACATATTGCCTTCTTTTTTCAGTTGAAAAGGATTTTTTCCCAGCTACTAGGAACTTACTGAAAAGTAATTCAAGGTTATTTCTGTCCATAGGAAACATTAGTCATTATTATAAAATTATAAGTCAGGCTATTTTGAGAGTGGCCCTTTCACGTTAGCAAAGTTAAAAAGATACACTGAAAATGAAAGTTCAGGGTAATATACCAAGGAATCTTAAATAGGGCTGAAAGAAAGAATAGTTTCTGGGGTAGTGATTTCTTGCATTTATCTCCATGAACCTTCCAGAAATTACTTTGCTGCAAAGTGCACCCTTTTGCCCGCAGTTTATGGACCAGTGTGCAGGCTGTTTTTCCTGATCTCTCATGGTCATGTGTGCTTCTCTCTCTTGTTTTTCAGGGTCTTACGAGTGTGGAATATGTGGGAAGAAATACAAGTATTACAACTGTTTCCAGACCCATGTGCGAGCACACAGAGGTATCTCAGTCCTGCTGCAATCTTGGGAATCCTGGGATAACACAGGCCCAGAGCAGGCTCAGGCTGGAGATCAGGGCAAGGTTCTTCCCCCAGAGGGTGCTGGGCACTGCCCAGGCTCCCCAGGGAATGGGCACGGCCCCGAGGCTGCCAGAGCTCCAGGAGCGTTTGGACAGCGCTGCCAGGGATGGACAGGCTGGGATTGTTGGGGGATCTGGGCAGGGACAGGAATTGGACACCTGAGTGATCCCTGTGGGTCCCTTCCAGGACATTCTGTGATTTTATGTCTATTTTCAGGAAGGTCTTGAAGGCTGCTCTGCTGCTTCCCTGGTCATCAGTAATTCTTCTCTGGGGTGTCCCATTGAGAGGGGCCCAGTGATAAACTTTGGAGCTGTCTCAGTTTTGTGGCTCTTTATTCCAGCAATATTTCTCCCCAGGTCAGGAGCAGCTCCTGTGTTCGGGGCAATATTTACTGCCCAGGGCTCTGAGGGCATCACTGTGTGCAGGAGCAGCTCAGATCACAGAGTTTCACCTGGCAGGTCCCAGTGCCAGCACTGTGGTGGCATCTCCCTGACGTGCTCTGAGCTCCTGCCTGGCTGGGAGTTCCATCCATCCCAGAGAAGTCAGCCTGGGAGGATATAAATCAGATATGGGCATTGTGACTGCTGTGTTTTTATGTTCAAATCAAAATGTTCCTTGAGCTGCCCCTGTGCCCCTGCTGTCAGCTCAGGTCACTTCCCAAATGCACTGTGTGCATGAAAGGTCTCGTGCTTGGTCAGGAGTGGCTTTGTCTGAGTTTTCTCTAAGACTGAACAATCCAATGTTGCTTAATTGCAGAAATGTGAAAGTTTGAGGTGGTTTATACAATCAAAGTATAGTTTGCAGGATTTGGAGCTCTGAAATAGCAGAACAGCAGGGACTGGAAAGCAGCTCCTCCTGAGCCTTTCTCTGTGTTTGTTTCCTGTTCCCTGAGATGAGCACTGGAGTCACTGTGCCAGGCTGGCAGGAGAATCTGCTTTAGCTCCTCAGGTGTAACCAGTGGTTGAAAATCCAAGAACAATGAAGGCTAATAGTACGTTCTAAATGCTCAAACTCTTGAAAGTTAACACATGCACAGCTGAGAAGTAACTGCTCAGAGTTTATCACAGTCTCATAACACATCCTTAATTGCATGTTTTCATATTCCTTGTGTGCCGTTTAATATGACAGAGCTGCTTCTGTGCCTCTGGATACACAGAATTGTTTTTCCATGCTGGTATTTCTTTTCTAAATACCAGCAAAATTCCTTAAAGTCCTTTAAATGTAGCTTCAAGTAGCTTCACTCTGCAGCTTAAGGAAAAAAAATCCCTAAAATAACAGGGATATGCTTTGCCATTACATCACAGCATTGCAATATTTTTTCAATAATAATTGTAGTATTTAAATGTGGGACAAGGATTGCTTTTATTTTACTTCTTTTCCCCAAGAACTATGGGATCTTTAATTCAGCTAGAATTTTAGGAGCTCTGTTAGTATGAGGTCACCTCCTAGTGTGTGATCTGATTAATTTATATTTATATAAATTTTGATAATGAAATTAAGCAATAAATTATATGGGTGCATATATCAGCACAGACCTGTACATTTGATGTCCATAGTTTTGACATGAACTCAGTGGAGACATGACTTTACCTTTTGCTTCCCAGGTCTTTGTCATGTGTAGTTGCAGAAGATGGAAATTTTCAAAATTCTGAATGTAGAAATTTATCACTAATTCTCACATCAGTGCTGGAGAAGCAGAATTTAGATCTGTGATACTTAGAAAGTGTTGGTTTTAATGCATTTAAAGTGCATTCAAATTGCCTTAAGACAATAAAGATACAAATGATTTACTTATTCATCTACCCTCTTCAGCAAGAAATGAAGCTGCAAACATGATGCAGCTCTGGCAGTGGGATTCTCCCAGGGAGCTGAGGCACTGGGCAGAGTATGCCTGGCTGCAGAGGAATAACCTGCAGTGAAAGGTTAAGGGTGGACAGGAAAAAAGAAGGAAGCATTCTTTGGAGGAAAGCCCTGTGTGATATTATCCAGTGTAAGCTGTGCATGGACTGGACCAGGAATGGTGCTGGGATGGCAAAAGACTGCAGGAGTGAAGGGGATTTTTGTGAAAGATGCTTTTATTGCCCCAAGGCTTCATAGAGGAGAAGGGGCTGGTACTGTCTCGGGGTGACAAAGGTGGGATAATGTGGTGGGATCACTGCACTGAGGGTGTCACCTTGCACGTTACTGTTCTCCCTGTGATCTCCGGTCCATGTCTCAGATCCAGTGCCAGGCACTGGCAGCCAGCTCTCCCAGGGCTGCTTTCCTCAAAGCACGGCAATGTGAGCTCCCTTAGCCCAGTCAGTGCAGTTCTCAGCTGCCAGAAACTCGAATCCTGAATCCTTCAGTCCTTTCTTTCTGGCTGGGCAAGGGAGGAGCCAGACTGCAATGGCAGGACCTGGATTCCCTCTTTGCAGGATGGATTTTCTGGGTGCCAGCCACGGTTTTCCCAAGGTCTGGCCACGTAACATTTGCCTCTCCCAAAGCTGGACAGATCCTGGGAGACTCACCAGCATCAGAGAAGCTAGAACAAACGGAGGCCCCTTTCTTCTCTTTAGGATTTTTGGTCATTCCAGGAGCAGTAGCTGCTGGTTGGGATTTGCTGAAGGATACACCCATCCCAGGTCTCTGTTCTCTGCTTGTCTGTGTGGTTCCTGTGTCACTTACGGGCCTTGGCCAAGCCCTGGGGTGGTGCTGCAGATGACAGAGCAGGAGATAGAAAAGGTTCAGGCCAGGGGAGAGCAGAGAAACTGGTGCTGATCTGCTTTGAATCTTTGGGGCAGAACAAAACATCTGTGTCACCAGCCCATCTGTCACCACCACTCAGTGGCACAAAATGCAAGGTTTGGGGGCCTCGAGTTGTCCTTGCTTTGGACCAGGGTTATTTCTGAGCTGGTTTTTGTGTCCAGAGCCCACCTGGGCCTTACAGCAGGGGGAAGGTCTGTCATGCTCTCTGCTCATCCATCCTTATCCACTGCTTGTTTTGCCCTCTGCAGAACTTAATGTCTTCTCATCCTTTGAGCTGTTCAGTTCCACATGAAGAGTTTTGGCCTGGCAACATTACATTTTTCTTTGCAGTGGGCATTTTTTTGAGAAATTTTCTGGATTTTTCTTTTATAGCTGCACCTGCCTCCACTCCAGCTCTCTGTGGCAGACAAGCTGCATTGGAGGTGACCCGTGTTCTTCAGGCTGACTTCATTTCTTGTCTGCTTTCAGAAGCAGGGGAGTTTATATTATAAAACAGGGCATTTTCTTAGTTTACTGAGCCTTCCCTGTGGTGCAGACCACTGGCTGGAGAATTTCAGGGAGCGACTGCTCTGGCAGTTGGCAGAAGGGCTGAGGCAGCTCTGCTCAGGATGTGCTGCCTCATAGGGACAAGTTCCCATTCTGCTTTTGCTGAAAGCCGAGATCCAGGCACGGAAATCCCTGTGTAAGGGTTCTGCAAAGAACCAGAAACGTAGGTAAGAAATTTCCCCACTATGTTTCATCAAGGAAGAAAGGAAAAGGTTGTGTTCCTTCCCCTTCGCCTCCCCAAGACTGACAAATAAAAAAAAAAAAAAAGTTGTGTTGTGGAGCTGAAAGGCTCCTTTGTGGGCTGTCATGCAGCCCTGCAGGATCCCAGCTCCTTTCTCGTGCTGCAGTCCAGCTGGAGCAGAGTGGCTGCACGTTCCCGGTGCCGATGGAAGGCTCTGGCCCAAATGTTACCACTTCACCTACACACAACCCGGGGCTTAGACATGTTTTGCTTCTGGTGCTTTTATTTTAGCTGTGTGGGGTTTTTCAGGTCATTAAAAGGTTTGGATTGCCTTCAGGAGTTAGTCAGCTAGAAAGTTCTGCTTTGTATGGTTGGGTCGTGTTTAAGCAACATGAGCAACAAAGCATCTGCATGTTTTGAGTCAGGAAAATTATTTTGCTTTTAGATAACTCCCAAAAAAAGGGCTGAAATTGCTTTATTAGACTTTCAAACAGCAAATTTATAAACCTCTGGGCTGAGGCCAAGCAAGGGAGATTTGTACCCAAAGCAGAATTCTTCCAAAAGCAAAGAAAGAAAATAGCAAGGCTCGAGTTTAACCCTCGCAGGATATATTGCCTCTAGCCCAAGAATTGGTGGAAGTTCTCTGTTTCCAGATAAGCTTTTCTGGGTTGACTGATGATTTTGCTCAAGTTGTTTTTCATTTTTATTTATTTACATTATAAGTTGTTGCATTGCCTCTCCCCAAGACCATCAGTTCTCCATGTCCTCCCCACAGGGCTGTGCCAGCTGAGGGCTAGGCTGCCCTCACCACAACAGATCCTGGATCCTCTGAGTGGGGCTGGATTCTTCAGGCAAAGTTTCGAGTTTCACCAGTTGTTAAAAAACTTCTCAAAGCTTTTCAAGTTTCAGATTAATGTTTTCCAAGAATGGGTTCTGCTCAATTCAAAAAATATGAAAAGGAAGATGACTCATTCAAATGGTGAATATGGAAAAATGCTTTTTTCCAAAGTGCACATTTTTTGGAGTCTGAGTTAAAGTAGTTCTGTCACTGAAAGGATTTTGAGGTGAGGAGTAGAAAACTAATAGAGATATAACCATTCCTGAGAAGAGATGGTGTTCCTGAACTGTAGAAAGTTAGGATTCATTTGTTTATTTGTTACTGAAAATACCAGATGATTTTTGGAGAGATCCTTTGCCCTCTGCCCTGCATCCCAAGATCCATTTTCCCATGCACATCTCCCAGTCTGCAGGCAGATACTCATATGAGATACAGAAAGTTTCTTGGGACACAAGAGTTAACTGACCCATTTTCCAGCTTCCCTGCCCACCTCCCTATTCTTACTGACTTTTGCAACTTTCTCAGAAATTCATCTTTTGTTTCACAACTGTAATTACTTGGTCTGACCTCAAAGGTGATATAGAGTGGGCTGTAAGGGGATTTTTAATTGGTCGTTTTAAATTCATGAATACTTTGTCTTATGACTAAGAGTAACAACATTTCTTGACGCAGTTCAGAAATGGCTGTTCCTCAAATTTTGTGTGTTGCCTGATTCTTGTTAAATTTGACTAAAGTACTTTCTAAGCTATTTAAACAGTGCATATCTTTTATGGTTTGCTTATGCCATTGCTTGTGAACACCAGGACAGTATTTTGCATAAATCTATTGTGCCATAGCTGCTTTTCCTTGAATGATGGGTGGGAATTCAAAAAAGTAGCAGCTGTGGAAAAATCCTTAACAGCAAAGCTGTTAAGGTTCTGCGTCTGATACTGAGGGTTTCTGATCTGGCCCCTGAGTTTATGAAGTTGTGCCAAATTAATACCGTTGCCTAGAAAAATGATCTAATCAGGCAGGTTAATCAAGTAGAAATGGTACAGACTCCCAAACTCACAATCATTTGTTTTTATTATTTTTAAGAAATAAGGAAATTAAATGCAAACAGTGCTCATTACTTAAGGTTGAAAATTTTAAATTCAAAAACGCTGTACTATTCTGCAGCTGTGGTTTCCAGTGTAGTGCAAGCATCATTCCAACAGACATACGGAATATTTTGCAACACAGTTACATTATTAGATAATGTGACATACAGTATATGTAATTTAGGATGAATATGAAACACTTCAGACTGGCCTGAAAATCCTAATCGTTTATGATCCTTGACTTGTAACTTTGGGGTTTGTTTTCCAGCTCGCAGCTTTGCCTGTTGCATTCATTTAGGGCTTGAACACGATCTCTGCTCTGTGCTTCTTGCAGTCCCACACACGACTGTGGAGGGAGCTTTTTCTCCCTTCTCCATCTGCCTTCAGTAGGATCAGGAGAGAATCCCCCTGGGGGAATTCCTGTGGCCCATCTCTTGTGGAGGCTTTGCCATCGCTGCCTGTGGAGGGCAGGCACGGTGGTAGAGCCGGCTGTGCCAAATCCCAGGGGAGCTGAGCCGGCTGTGCTGTTCACTGCTCACTTTCCTGGGTTCACAGCGCTTGCTGTTAAATGAGTCCAGAGGAGCCCACGGAGCTGCTCCAAGGGCTGGAGCCCCTCTGCTCTGGAGCCAGGCTGGGAGAGCTGGGGGTGCACACCTGGAGAGGAGAAGGATCCAGGGAGAGCTCAGAGCCCCTGCCAGGGCCTGAAGGGGCTCCAGGAGAGCTGGAGAGGGACTGGGGACAAGGAATGGAGGGACAGGACACAGGGAATGGCTCCCACTGCCAGAGGGCAGGGCTGGATGGGATATTGGGCAGGAACTGTTCCCTGGCAGGGTGGGCAGGCCCTGGCACAGGGTGCCCAGAGCAGCTGTGGCTGCCCCTGGATCCCTGGCAGTGCCCAAGGCCAGGTTGGACATTGGGGCAGCTTGGGATAGCCCATGGCAGGGATGGAATGGGATGGACTTTAATGTTCCTTCCAGCACACACCATTATATGACCGTGGGCAGCTCTCTTTAGCCACCAGCCCCTGTGGGCCATGTCCGGCCTCGCAGCCCCGGTGAGCCCTCAGGTCCCGCGAGGGGCCGGGCGGGCCGGGCACAGCGCGGAGAGGAAGCGAGCGAGGCGGCGGTGGGGGCCGGGGCAGCGCGGCCGGCGGATCTAAGCGCTGCTCTTTCTCTTTGCAGACACCGAAGCTGCCTCAGGGGAAGGAGCCTCACAAGGCAGTAAGTACAGCGGGGCGCGAGGGGCCGGGCCGGGCGGGGGCCGAGCTCCCCGAGAGCCCGACGAGGCTGGGGCCGGGGCCGGGGCCGGGGCCGGGGCCGCGGTGGGGCCGTACCGCAGGCGCCCGGCAGGGGGCGGCCCCGGCGCGGAGATGGCGGGAGGCGGCGGGGGGCGGCGGGAGGCGGCGGGGCGGAGCGGGCGGGCACGGCTCGGGGTCCCTGACGGCACGGCGGGGCCGCGGGCACGGCCCGGGCGTCTCTCGGGGCGCGCCCCTCACGGCCCAGCAGCTCGGACGGTTGTCGCTGTCCCGCTGCCGTGAGGGGAGCGCGGTGCCCCGGGCGCTGCCCTGTGAGGGGACTGTGAACGGAGCTCCCCCTGCGTTCTTTGCGGGGGAGGGGTAGGGCACTGCCAGCCTCCCTAGCGGTGTCTAGATGTATGGTTTTTAAACCCTAAGCTGTAGTTTGGGGGTGTGCCCCAGCCCCGGGGAGGGAGAGCCAGAGCCGGCCCAGGGCTGAGGAGAGAGGGCCGGGGCAGCAGTGGAAGAGATGGCACCAGAGGGAGCTGGAGACAGACTCGTGAGCCCTGTGAGGGGTGAGTGGGAAGATGGAGCCGCGCAGTCCCCGGTGACAGGAGAGCTGAGAGATAATGGGCATGAAGTGGAGAGAAGGGAGGTTGAGGCTGCGTTGAAGGAAAAGCGCTCCCTCCTGCTGTGGAGCAGGCTGTCCAGAGAGCTGTGTCCTGCATCCTTGGGGTTTACAAGACCAGCCTGCGTTAAGTCCCAAGTAACCAGGACCGAGCTCGGAGCAGGCTCAGCTTTGAGCAGAGGTCAGATCAGAGATCTCCTGAGGTCTCTGCCCACCTGGGTTTTGCTGTGTGTTAGGTGAGAGCCATGATTCCCACTGCAAAGGTAAGTTTCCAACATTGGTGGTTGCAGACGGCAGCTTGGAAGCACCAAACTTACCCTGGGTGGGTATAGAAATGTTAGATAAATAGTAAAGAAAAAAAGTACAACCAGACCACCCCTTCTGAACTCTTTCTTCACCGTGTTCTGTGATAGGTGAACAATTGGCATTAGCATAGGGGGGGTCTTGGCTTTCTGTCGCAAAAGGAAGCAGGACTGACTTCACTGCAGGTGGGGAATGGAGATCCTCAGCCCTGAGCTGAAACATCTCAGTAGCAAGCAGCCATCCCACATCAGTGTGTACACACAGTGTACTACTCACAGGAGGAGGTGGGCTCTGCAGTTGAGTCCAGCTCTGTAAAGGGCAAGGAAACTCTTTCCCAAGCTCCTGTCACCTCCTTTGCTGTCTCTCTTTCATTGCTCAGCTGCCTGTTGGTGTTTTACTTACGTTGAGGCTTTCCAGTCTCATCTCCTGGCTGCCTTGCTCTGAATTTCGCTGCCAGGCACTGCTGGGTTCTGGTCTAGGCTGTGTGCATCCTGGGTGGGTATTGGGTACTTCAGCCAGAGCTTGGGAACCACCTTGTGCAGAGAGATACTTTTTTTCTCTAAGTGAACTTCTCCCCTTCCCACCTGTTGTGGGAACTTTTTTTGGCTGGAAAAGATAGGGCAGAGTGAGGTGTGAAGAGAGAAAAAAGACATGAGGGCTCACACCTTTGCTGTGTGGGCAGACTCGCTGTTGCTGGAGCTATAGAAGGATTTCTGTGGATGTAAATGCCTCTTCTGTGGTGTCTGGGTCGTGGAGAGAGGGGGAGAAGGGAACATCATGGGCAGAAGTCTGGGACAGAACAGTAAAAAGCTGCTGTTCCCTACACCAGGCTTCCAAGAAGTCGCTGTGGTAGCACTGGAGATGGAGCAGGGAGCAGTAGGGGAGGCAGGAACTGCTTCCATCTTCATGCAGAGTCCAGCCTCATCCCCTCTGCAGGAATTACTGACCCCTTTTTTACCTGCCACACTCATATCCCAAAACAGTCTCATCTAGCTGAAAGAGGTTGAGGCAAACCAAGCCACCAGAATGGGGAGATGGTGAGTGGTGAGGTAGGGAAAGGGGAAGAAGGATCCACCGTGGCCGTGCCCTGCTGGAGGGACAGCCTGGACGTGTCACCTGCACTGCAGAGTGCATGTGAGACTGCTGGGCCCGTGCTGCTGTGCCTAAGTGCACATGGTTGTAATTTTTTGACAAAGTCATCTTCCTCTTCCCTTCTTGTGCTGCAGGGAAACAACTCAGCTCTCTTCTTTGCTCCCTGTGCCTTCCTCTCTGAGGCTGGATTAAATCCCTGGCCTACCCTCGTTGCTTCTACACGTCTGTTCTTGTTTTTCCACTCAATGGCTCTCTTGTCTCCTTGTCAGTCTGTTTGCTTCTCATATATTTAAAGAATTTTTTTATTTATCTTTCCTTTCCTGCTATTTTTGCTTTGCCCACTGCTACATTGCTGTTCCTCTGTGACCTAATCTGGCTGTTTACACCCTCTCTTTTACAGATGTCTGCATTGTTCCAATCTTCCTCTGCTATTTCTATCTCATTGGGAACCTCTACATTCATGGTCTCTGCAGGCATGGTTTGCTGCCCTCTCCCAAAATTTCTCAGTATTTAAGGGATACAGGAAGGTGTTGTTTTCTCTCCTGTGCTTCTCTTTGGGGCATGGATTGCATCCATCCTGAACCTGTGAGTGAGGAGTCCCTTGATCAGCAGTGGGGCCCTGGATTAGTTCACATAACTACATTATACTACATTAGTTCACATCACAAGCTACAGGATTCGAAAAGCTGATCAGATTTTCTCCATGGTCACTTGCTGGAGCCAAGTGTTACTCACAGCCACCAGTGGTCACCCAGAAAGTGCAGGTGAAGGCAGCCTTGTGTGCCAGGTGACACCTCAGCTGGTGCCTGTGCAGAGCACAGGGCTGTAGTTCAGTTCTGTGCTGTGCTCCCTGGGCTGCCCATGAGCAATCAGCTCTGTTTTGGGAAGCAAAGTCTGGGAGTGAGAGCGAGAGTGGGCTGTGGGGAGGACGAGGGACTGACTGGTAGGTGAGGGGGTGCTGGAACGTGCCCTTGCCTTCAGCTCTGAGGGGCTGTGGTCACAGGGGCTGCTGGGGGAAGGCCCATCCTGGCCTTTTTCCTTCCTGGGAGGAAGGGAGCAGGGGGGCCAGCTGGGACTCAGCTGAGATCTGTTGTTTGCTCACGGCCTGCCTAAAGAGGAGACAGTGGTGTTTAGACTTTCCAGCTGGGAAAGCACTTTGAAGACTCCCTTGAGGAAAAATTGTTGCATTTAGTTGGTTATTTTCAGCCTTTGGGGTTTATAGTCAGTAGATGGTGTCTCTGGCACTCCGTTTATTTTTTTGGACCCATTCTTGAAGAGCGACAGCTCTGTGGTTCTGAGGGGGGATGTGCTCACAGGGACACGGCTGCATGGCTTTGGGAGCTCCTTTTCTAGCCTTGGCTCAGGGTCCAAGACCAGAATTTCCACATGAGAGAGAAGAAAACAATGCAACCCACAGTGCTAATGTGTTAAAGAGACTTGTCTGACTGCTACCAACTTTGACTGGCAAGGACGAGGAAGAGAAGAGGGTCATTTTGAAAAAACAGTCTATTTGATATCTTTTCCTAGACAAGTGTGGCTAGTTTGTCATCTGGGGAATTGACTGTTCCCACAGAAGAATTTGCAGGTCTTTTCTGAGATGCTCATGTGCCTATGTGGTTTGCTCCAGACTCTGAGAAGTCCTCAAGGAAGGTGTTTGGGCTGGGTCTGTGCTCTCATTCTCCACGGGAATTCCAGTCATGTTTAGGAGAGTAACAAACTGAACAAACAGCCTCCCTCCTGCTGTTCACATTCCATAGGACATTCTTGGCATTGGGACAGGTCGCTGAATAAAGCCAGGGGCAAGAGGGGGTCTAGGGCCCTGTGGGGGCAGGGACACGGCTGAGTCAGCAGCTCCTCTCACCTGAGCAGGTGTTTGCACTGTGCCAGGGTGTGGAGAGGGGTGTGTTCAGTGGGTTGTATTCAGTGCACATGTCCCAGGTTGGGGACACAGCTACAGAATCACAGAGGGCAGGGCTGGATGGGATATTGGGCAGGAATTGTTCCCTGGCAGGGTGGGCAGGCCCTGGCACAGGGTGCCCAGAGCAGCTGTGGCTGCCCCTGGATCCCTGGCAGTGCCCAAGGCCAGGTTGGACATTGGGGCTTGGAGCAGCCTGGGACAGTGGGAGGTGTCCCTGCCCATGGCAAGGGGTGGAAAAAGGTGATTTTTAGAGCTCCCTTCCAGCCCCAGCCAGTCTGGGATTCTGGCTCTGTAGTTGGAATAGTCAGCCTGTTGGAATGTGGTACCATCCTTTTCTGTAGGAAAGAGGAGCTTATATACAAGAACATCTTCAGAGTAACCATAACTGGCTTGCAGAGCTTGAAGGGGAACTGAGTTTTATGCTTGCCCATGAAGTTCACCTGAGAGTGTGTAGGCACCAGAGCTTTGCTCTGCCTTCTCGCTGCTGCTCTTTCTTACAGTGCTCTGCCTCTTCAGACCAGCCCAGGGCAGAACTCAGCTTCCTCGGGCAAATGTTAATGTGACACTTGCCTCATTTCACCTTAGCAATGGCCTTTCAATACCAAAATACCAAATGTTAACAGATACAGCAGGTAGTGCTCCCAGTCCATAGTAGTTCTAAGCCCTTTGCCTGGCTGAGTCTCAGATCACTTCCCAGAGAAGTTTGGAATTCTGCAGGCAGGCAGGAAGCAGCAGGACAGAAAGAAAGTCACTTGCCAGAGGCAACAAACGGGTGAGTGTCAATGGAATAAAGTGCAGTCCCTGGGCTTGCGGCCCGGTTAGTGCTGGGCACAACCCTTGGATTGCAGTTCTGTGTCCTGGGAAAGAAACCAGGAAATGCACAGGGAAGTGGGTAGGGAAGGATTGCTAAAAGCTGAAGGTATCTCAAAGTACCACTGATGCATTAACTTCGGGTATATCTGATGAGTGATCTGGGATGTCGTGAGTGTTCTTCCCAGGGGAGAATTCCTGAGTCTGGGGGAGCAGTGCTGATTGACTATGTAGT